GCATCTTGAGAGTGTTTCTGCACGTCTGGGCTGTGGGATGGTGGCGGGGGCCCTGCTCTGACTCGGGAAAGGCCACGTGTTGTGCTGAGGTTGTAGGTTCTGAAGCTGGACTGCCTGCCTGACCCTCAGCCTTGCCCCTTCTTAACTGTGCAGCTCTGGGAAAATTAATTAACCTCTCTGTCCTCGTGTCCTCATCCTTCAGTTGGGGATGATGCTACAGTGCCACCCTGATGTGTTGTTGTGAGCATTTGGTGAGATAAGTGCATGCGAAGGACACAGGCCTGCTGTCACCGCTGAACACTCAGAGCATTCTCATTGATGCCAGGCTCTGTCCAGTGAGGAGCCTGCAGGGTGGGGTGTCAGGGGGTCTAGGCTGGGGCTGTCCCAAGGAGTGCTTGTCCCCGTCTACCCCTTCTCCTCTTTGTTTCCTCTGGCCCGGATGCCCAGGGTCCAGCTCTGGCCTGGGAGGAAAGTGTACCTTCTCGGCCCCACTGGGGAGGCAGGCAGTAAGATGGTGACGCAGGCCTAGCTGTCCTGCTCACATCCTCTGCTGCCCCTCACACCTGAACCCTGGCCTGGCCCTGCCCCCTGAAACCATCAGTCTCATTTCCCCTCTGGGCTCTGGCTCACTCTGTGTGCCCCACCTCCCATCCTGGTCCCCCAGAGCTGAGGAGTTCAGGTTGTTTGGTTGCAAAGAACTGAGACCAACTCTAGCTTGCTTAAGCTAAAAAGGGATTTATTGGGAGACTCTTGGGGAGCTTCCAGAACTGAAGGAGCAGCTGGACACACAGGCCTTAGACAGCTCCCTCCCAGCTGGCTGACCTCCACCCAGGCCAGTCCCTAAGGCACCCTGTCACTTGACCTTCCCATTCCTGGCTTAATTCCCTCAAGAGACAACCTGGCTGCCAGGCTTGGGTCAGGTGCACTCCTACAGATGGGCCAGCCTTGGCTCCTGGGGTTGTCAGGGGGCAGAGAACTCCTAGGTCAGGCATGTCACCCCAGCCCCCTGCCTGCCTGATGTCCTAACCTGTTCCACCCTCTGTATTCTGGGTCCATTGTGCCTCCTCCAGGAAGTCTATCCTGACCTCTAACCTTGGGGTCTCTCCTGCGTGCACAGCCCACCTCTTGCTGCATTTTCAGAGACGTGTGTGTCTTCCCTGTGGATGTGATGAGGGTCTGTTAGGGTTAGGTGGCCTCTAGTCTGTCCTGTTTGTGAATCCCCTGTGGGCCCAGACTGGGGTCCGGCGCTTGTGTTCATTCACCTGAGCTGGGTATTGGGTGAATGCAGGTACCTGGTGATCCGAGGAGCTTCCTGCCTATCCTGCCAACCTCCCGATGCTGGGCACTTGGCCACCCTGGGCCGCAGGGCTCTTGGGGATGCCTGTTGCAGGCAGAGGCCTGTAGCATTTGCCCGCAGTTTCCAGAGGTGTCCTCCTCTTGAGGACTTTCAGCCTGCCACCACGTGGGCAGAGGTGTCAGCTCAGAAACCCTGGGCTGTGATTCCCAGCCTTGGGAGAGGTCATTTTGAGCTGGAAGCAGGACATTCTGGCTGGTACCCATCCAGCCTGTGTCAGCTGTTTCTCTCCCACAGACGTGGTCACGGATGTGGACTTCTCTCCTTTTGATGACTTCCTCCTGGCCACAGCTTCAGCTGATAGGACGGTGAGTGGAGCAGCTGAAAGAGCAGTTTGAGGCCCCTCCCACCCCTCGTCGGGTGCCTCTGAGCCCCCAAGGCCCTGCTGGTTCCCATCCAGCCCCTACTGCTAGGTTCCTCAACCCTCGCCCGCTCCCGTGCACTCCTGTGCGCTTGCCCTGAGCCGTGGCCACAACCTGTGTTCTGCTGCTGCCTGAAGGTAGCAAGGCTAGGGTGATGGGGGAGGCTCAGAGGAGACGGAGTACAGCCCCTGGATTCCCCCCAACTCCTGTGTCTTTCTCTCAGCCTCTAACCACACCCTGTGACACTGAGCCCCTTCTCCTCCCTCCCCTGACACAGAGACCAGCCCCTTGCCCCTGGGGTTAGGGAGCTGCTGGCAAGGCTGGCTGGAGGCAGGGAGGCCCCTCCCAGCCCTGAGCTCACGGACTCGCTCTTTCCTGCAGGTGAAACTGTGGCGACTGCCAGCCCCTGGCCAGGCACTGCCCTTGGGGCCTGGGCTGTTGCTGGGCCCTGAGGACGCCCAGGTGGAGGTGCTGCAGTTCCACCCAACTGCGGATGGCGTCCTGGTGAGCGCAGCGGGCAGGGCCGTGAAGGTCTGGGATGCAGCCAAGCAGCAGCCCTTCACAGGTACAGGCCGCACTGACTGTCCCTGCTGGGCAGCCCCACCTGCACAGCACTTTGTTTCTTGTTCGTGGTTTTGGTAAATACATACCAAAGTTTCACATGTACCTGATGTGCATTTATGTACTCATGTGTATATGTGTGTGTACGTACATATATGCACGTATACAGACATATATATATGTGCTTCTAACTTGCTGCAAATACCCCATCCCTCCCCACTTCCCATAGACATCTGTTTTCATCTCACTTAGCTGTTTTTTCAGCTTTTTCCTTCATATGTCCAAATAACTTTCTTATACTGTTATTTCTTGAATTGTGTGTCATTTCAGTTCTGAAAACACACTACTGACTTCTGCCCTCGTCTGCCCTGGGAGATGAGGATTTTGCTCTCTTCACCCCCCCCCCATGGTGCTTCTCTCATTTTCCCCATATGCATCGTCCTGGTCTGTTCGGGCAGCTATAACAAAATCCCACAGACTGGCTTATGAACAACAGGCATTTATTTCTCACAGTTCTGAAGGCTGGACATCTAAGATCAAGCCACCAGCAGGTTCAGTGTCTAAAGAGGACTTGCTTCCTGGTTTGCCGTGTTCTCTGGGTGTCATCTCCTAGAGGCAGGGGCGAGGGAGCTCTCAGATGTCTCTTTTATAAGAGCACTAAACTCTCATGAGACTCCACCCTCGTGAGCTTATCACCTCGCAGAGGCCCTGCCTCTGGATTCCATCACATCCGGAATCAGGTTTCAACATGTGAATTTTGGGTAAAGGGAACACAAACATTCAGACCAGGCATAGCTGTTGATAACTTTGGGTCCGATTCCTCAGTATTTGAATGGTTGTGCCCCTGCGCTGTGACCCATAGTGGAGCTCGGCATCACCAAATCCTGTCTGCAGAATCCTCTGTGTCATACTCATCCCCTTTTAGGGTAAAGACGAGAGGAGAGTTGAAGGACGGACTTGCCCCACAGGGGTGTGCAGAGTGTCCAAGTGGACTAAGCCTTCCATAATGATGTCCCCATCTCTGGGGCTGGGACCAGGGGCCATCAGCCTAATGGGGTGTCTCAGGGATTACCCCCTGACAGCATCAATTACTCAGAAGTCAGCCAATGCCTACCATGGAGTTGTCTTGTGCCACAAAGGACGTGACATTCAAGGTGTAGGCCTCGTCCCCAAGGAGCTCCTGGTGTAGTAAAAAAGTCCAGGCCAACCTTTGAAGCAGAGGTGAAGGTCACCAGGCAGTGTGTCATCCAGGAGTCACCCCAGCTGTAACGGCCATCTCTCAAGCTTTCCTCATGTGCCTGGCACTGTGCTGAGGGCTTCACACTGGGAGTGTTGCCATTCCCATGTTTCAGATGTGGTTAAATAACTTGACCAAGGTCATAGTGCAAGCAGGTGACAGGACTGGGATTAACCTCTGGGAAGTAAACTTGGCATAGTAGTTACCTATTGCTGTAGAACAAATTACCCCAAAACCTAGAGACTTAAAACAACTATAAACATTTTCTCATTTCACAGTTTCTGATCGTCAGGGATTTGCGAGCAGCTTAGCTTGGTGGTTCTGGCTCAGGGTTGTAAGTTGAGGTTGCAAGTCAAGATGTCAGCTGGGGCTGCCATCATCTGAAGGCTTGATTGGGGCGGAAGGATCAGCTTCCAGGATGGTTCACTCACACAGTCCCAGCTGTGGACAGAAGGCCTCGGTTCTCCCCCATGGGCCTCTGGATGGGCTGCTCACTGCATGGCAGCCACTTCTGGTGCACAGTCCAAGAGAGAGCAAGGAGGAAGGCACATGCTCTCCATTAGAAGCAAGTCACTGGGTCCTACTTACACTCAGAAGGAAAGGAATTGAGCTCCACATTTTGAAGGGAGGATGTGTTAGTTTCCTAGAGCCACTGTAACAAAGTACCACAAATTGGGTGGCTTAAAATAACAGAAATTTGTTACCTCGCAATCCTGGAGATTGGAAGTCCAAAATGCAAGTGTCAGCAGGTTGATTCCTTCTGAGGCCGCGGGGGGCAGTCTGTCCAGGCCTCCTCCCAGCTTCTGTGCCTGCTGGTACTCCGTGGCTTGTGGATGGCTATCTTCTCTCTGTTCACCTCGTTTTCTCTCTGTGCATGTCTCTCTCTGTCTGATTTCCTTTTTCACAGGGATGCTAGTCATATTGGCTTAGGGTCCATTCTAGTGACATCAGCTTAACTCGATTATCTGCCAAGACTGTTTCCAAATAAAGTCCCGTTCACAGGTGCTGAGGGTGAGGGCTTCAGCATCTTTTGGAAGGGGACACGATTCAACCTCTAACAGGAAGGGTATCAAATAATTTGTGGACAGGTTTTAAAACTGTCACACTGGGGGAGGAACAGGGCCAGAGTGTGTGTGACATGTCCAGAGCAAGCCTGGGCGGGAAGAGAGGCGGGCCCAGGAGCTGGGATCCTTGGAAGGGAAGGGAGTGGAGGCGTGGCCTGAGAGGGCAGGGCTGAAGGCAGCAGCCCCGGGGTGCTGTGCAGTGCCTTCTGGGAGGAGCTGCTGCCCCTGCCCCTGCAATTACCCCCAAGCCAGGCCAACCTGCACCCGCTTCCCTGTTGTCCTCATGCTTGGGATGGGGGGGACCCTGAACCCCTCCTGACCTTGGCTGCTTCTCTGCAGAGCTGGTGACCCATGGGGACCTGGTGCAGGGTGCCGTCTGGAGCCGGGACGGAGCCCTGCTGGCCACGACATGCAAGGTAAGGGTGAGACTTGAGTAAGTGCCTGCAGGGGCCTGAGGCCATCATGTTGCAGAGCACATGTCCCGGGCTGTACCTGCCAGGCTCAGCAGTACTTAAGAGGCAGCAGAAAACCAAGGCCAGGGTAGGCGGTTGTGAGCCCCTCCCCCACCTCAGCTGCCCTCATACCTTCTAGCTCATACCTGTCTCTCAAAGCTCCCACTCCACCAGAGGAAGCCCCACACTGGCCCTCTGGGGCTCCCATCTCAGCCTCCCCTGGCTGCCTGGCTGCTCTGTCTGCCTGCCTATCTGTGAGGGTCGTGTTAGACAGCGTCCATATGCAGTGCACTTTGCCAGCCCCCACATCCAGTGAGCAGGCCTCAGGGTCCTCGATGATGCCAGGCCCCATGCCAGTGGGGGCGGCTGGTGTGGGTTCAGGGATCATATGGATAAAAGAATAATTGTGACCCATGACAGTGACCCAAGCTGTGGAAGAGGGACATGAGATGCTTTGAGTGGTTGGAGAGGCTAGGGGAGGCATGCTGGTGTCGGGCAGGGGCAGGGTGAGTGTGCTGGGTGGAAGGAGTTACAGCTGCAGATGGGGAATGAGAGGGTGCAGGGACTGGGTGCAGGGCTGGGCCGGGCTGGGGGCAGAGAGCAGAGCTGCATGCAGAGGGTCACGCTGATTACTGTAGAAGCAACAGGAAAGCACTGGGGTGTTTAAAGCCAGAGGTGGGTGGCCGTGGTGTCAGGTGAGCAGATCTGCATTTCGAGGCTCCCCAGCTGCAGTGTGGACAGAGCATTTTCTTGGTGGGGTGATGCGGCGGCCAAAAGTAAAGGAGGAACAACCTCTGAGAGAGAGAGGAGCCTCTCGGGCCAGGGGTGGTGCAGATGTGGGATGTGACAGATATGGGAGACAGGAGACAGGAGGAGAGAGCTGTGGGGTTGGCTGTGGGCTGGCTGTGTGGTTGGGGGTTGTGAGGCTGACTCCTGGGTTATGGGCTGGAGGAGGGCCCTGCCACTGAGACAAGGACAAGACGGGGTGCTCCTGGTGTGGCTGGGGGCCGGTGGGATTGGAGGCACCTGGGACCTCTGAATGGAGGTGTCAGTTGAATCTGTGGACTGGGCTCTGCCCTGCGCTGAGGCTGGAAGGGTGGGCGTCGTCTGTGTGTATGTGGTACCTCTAGAGGGACGCTAGGGTCCCCATGGGGAGAGGAAGAAGTGAGAAGAGGTGGCCCAAGGAGCCGAGGAAGGATCAGAACCTGCAAGAGAGACAGAAGGAGCCTCCTGGTGGGAGGAAGGAAGCCAAGAAGGACCAGCTCTCTGTTTCCTGAGACCCAGGGCTTCCCCGGGAGGTGGCCAGGGGCACTGGGAACAGTGAGTGATACCTACGGATCTGGGGTCGTGGGCAACCTTTGGGACCTTTTGAGGTATGCTGCTGCCTGAAGCCGTATGTGAAGGAAGGCAGGAGGTGAGGAAAGATCTGGCAAGGAAGGGTTTATCTGGGAAGTGTGGCTGGCCAAGGGGATGGGGTGACAGGAGCTGGTTGTTGGGAGGCAGGGTTGGGGACTCCTCTGAAAGAGAAAATGTGGGATCTGCATACTCAGGAGGATCCCATTTCCAACTTTCCCTTCTTTTCTCTGCTTTCTTGGAAGCCCCATTTCCCAGTCTTTATCGACTTTTCCCCATTTGATTTATTAAACTGTAGGTCCAGACACTGGCCTGAGCTCCAGGGGTTGAGGGGTAAATATGACAGGGCTACTGTTTCTCCAAGACCCTAAGGAGCTGCTGCTTTAGGCCGAGGCAGTCACACCATGTGGTTTGCTTGCTCAAGTTAAATGCTGGTGAGCACTGTGTTTCCACGTGTGTATGTGAGACAGACAAACACAGAATGAGACAGAGGGAGGAAGGAAAAAGCTGGGAGGAGAGCGGATTGTCACAGCAGATTTTTTTCTTGTGATCACCCAAGTATAGTAGTTTGTGCTTGTTTTACAAATTTTGGAGAGCAGTTAAAAAGTAAAGAAGCAAAAAAAAAAAAAGTAAATCCTCTCAGGGACAGGACCTGTCACCATTTTGACATCGTTCTGTATTTTTCCTGTATGTGTTGAAATCATACTCTCTACGTTTTTTTTTTCTTCAGCATAATAAAATTGTCTCCAGTCCATCAAAAACTTAACAAATGTCACAGGAAATATTTTACCATGTAGATTTACAGTTTACTCATTGGAGCTCCTGCTTGCAGAAGTCTGGGTTGCTTCTACTTGGCATCACTGCGTGACAAGTTGTCAGGTTTGAATGCATTTGTATATAGGGGTTTTTCTCTACCTTTATATGATTTTCTTAGCCTAGAGCAGTGGAGGGCAAACTTTTTCTGTAAAGGGCCAGATAGTAAATACTTCGGGGTTTGCAGGCCAAGCTATCTCTGTCAGTATCACTTTGTAACAAAGAGGCAGCTGTGGACACTACATAAATGATGGGTGTGGCCATGTTCCAGGAAAACTGCATTTGTAGAACCAGGTGGTAGGTTGGATTTGGCCCGCTGGGCCTTACAGCTTGCCCACCCCGACCTAGATTCCTGCCAGGAATGTTGCTGGCTCTAGGCTGTGAAGAGTTTTAAGATGGATAACATTTTCACCAGCTGCTTCCCCCAGGAGTAACGCTGGCTGCCCTGGGGCTGTTCTGCAGATGTTGTGGGCTCCAGCTTGGGTTTGGGAGGAGACGTGTGTCTGTGGGCTAGCAGTCCGGCCCTCTGAGCCTGGAGAATGGATGGAGCAGAGACGCTTGTCCCACAGCTGAGCCCACAAGGAGGTGTGCGGAAAGCACTAGCCCCTGAGGTCGGGCCGGGCTCTGGGCTGCCTGCTTTTCCTCCCGCCTCACAGCTCCAGTGGTGCCTCAAGGGAGCAGGGCTGCAGCCCTGTGGCAGCTGGGTGGCTTGACAGAAGGGTGGCAGAAAGATGCCTTGGTTTCTCCAGTGATGGAGCAGCCCTGGGGCAGACACGTGTGGTTTCCACACCCCGTGAATATTCTGTAGCTGCCGCACAGATCAGCTGCCTAGGGCATGGCCCTGGAGAGGGAGGAAGGAAGCTGTGGGGCCCAGGGCAAGCTGGGGCCACTTCTGTCAGAGCTCACCCAGGCTGCTCCACCAGCACTCCACCCTGGGCTGCGGTACCGTTGCCTAGACCACCCTTCCCCTGAGACCTGCAGCCCACAAGGCTGGTCTAGCCTGTGGCCTGGAGGGAGGTGACGCCACTGGGCCTTGTGTTCTCTGCCTCCTGTCCCCTCATCTCCAGTCCCTCGCACCCCCTCTCCAGCCCCAGGCAAGCTGTCGGAGGTGCAGATGTCTGAGGTTTGATGTGGGTCATTTCCTGTGGAGCAGCCAGAGGCACCACCCCTCCCCAGAGCTCACGGCCCAGCCGGAGCCCCTGGCGTGGTTGAATCTGGTTCTGACGGGGCTTCGAAGGGACAGATCAGGAGTTGGGCATGTCTCCTGGGGTCCTGCCATGTTCCATGTTCAGAGGCAGCCAGGTGAGGAGTGCGGGCTGGGGGGAGAGTGGGGTGGGCTGCGGCTGAGCATGAGGCCGCGTGAGGGGTTTGTTCTGAGGGCAGTGGGCACCCTGTGGCTAGGGTGACGGTGGGGAGCAGGCCGGCCTCCAGGAGATGGGGCAGTGCAGGCCTTAGTGATGGGACGTGGGCAGGGAGAAGTGACTTCCCAGGGAAGGCCTGGCAGAGCCTGGGAGGACCTAGAGAGCCCTGGAGACGGGGAGGAGGGCGTGGAGTCCAGAGATTGCATGCAGGGGGTTTGTGGAGGTGCATAGGAACTGTCCTGTTGAGGCAAGGGGGCTGGGCACTGTCCCCACACAGACCAGTCCCTGGACATGCATGTGGCCGTGAGCAGCAGTGCCAGGAGGGGTGGGACCAGCTGTGAGCCCTGAGCACCCAGGGACGGAGGGTCTCACCACAAACCCCGCACCTGCTGCAGTCCCTGCAGTGCTGCTGGGACTGCTTGCTCCTTTTCGTAAGTTCACCCTGGGAACAGCTTTCCCAGGGTCTGGCTGGAATCTTGCAAGAGGAAAGGTAGGAGGAGGAGGCCCCTCATGACACTGGTCTCATCCTCTCCCTCCCCACCACCCATGCTGAGCTCTGGAACTCTTGACTGGCCCCTCCTGGTCACTGAGGGGGGATTCACTGGTGTGGGAGTCTAGCCCCTTCTCCCCAGGGGTCTGAGCTCTACTTACCATCAAAACTGGGCCTGGTGCAGGGCAGGTGGAGAATGAGCACCCCATCCCATCGCATCCTGCTATCTCCTCTGGTGTGGTGACTCTGTGCCTGCTGCTGTCTTGGGAAGAAGACTTGGTGGAACAGGCTACAACTCAGAGCCCAGTGAGACTCTCCTGTCCCCTCTCCCCTCAGCGTAAAGTTGCAGGGATAAAGTGCACAGGTTTCTCAAGTGGGTCACTGGAGTCCTGCCATGTTAAGCTTCCCCAGTTCCTGGACCTCATTGCTCTACCTGTGAGGACACAGCACCTTGTGATGCTGTTGATCTGGGTGCAGCATCGCGGAGGAGGATGCTGTCCTCTCAGGCCATCCCCTGTGAGGAGTGCTGGGTGTCACCACGGTCCTGTATCCAGTGCCCCCTCCTTGGCTGTAAAGGGAGCCTAGGGGTCCTGAATGTGTGCATCAAAAGCTGGAAAACCTTGGGGAGTGATGGAGGGGTTGCATGTCAGGTGGAGGTGCCCATGGGCTTGTTCTGAATGCATGGGGGGAGCCGGTGAGTGGGCCAACTCTCAGCAGGAGGGAGACTGATCCCCTCCCAGGCCAGGCTCTGGGTTTGTTCACGGGACTGCCTGATTTGGGCGGGATGCGGGGAACACTCTGCTTCCATCAGAGCCTCCCTGGTCTCCACACCGTGCACCCCCCCAACCCCACGGGGAAGATCTCCCTGGCCACCTGGTTGGGACTCCCATCCTCCCATGGAGCAGTTCTGCCTCTGGGGCAGGGCCCAGGCCACCGAAGACCCTTCCTGCTCCCCTTCCAACTCCTGCAGCCAAGGGAGGGGCAAGCGGCCGCTAGGGGGCGCGCCGGCCTCGTGGATGGCTAGGCTTGGCTGGCTGGGCCCCTACTCCACGTGGTGGGTTGTACCTGTGAGCTGAATGAGGATATTCTCCTCAGCAGCCCAGTGCCACCCCTGCTGCCTGGCCCTGCGGGCCCCACCAGTGCCATGCCAGCCTCCAGTGCCTCAAATGCTGAAATTCTGCGCTTGATGGCCCAGCTCCCTTTAGGGAGGTGCCCAGGTGCCAAGACTGTGACTCTGACCTGTGAGAAGTAGTGGGATTGGCATCCTGACCTAGACCATCTGGTCCCCACTGCTGGGAGTGGCCCTTGCTGCTAGGAGGCCTTCCCTCTTGCCCATCTTCTGTCCGGATCCTCTGTCTCCCACTGCATGCACCCCCCCTTCTGTCTGTCTCTTGCTGCCCTGTCTCTGTCCTCCATTTCTAGTTGTTCTTTCTCTGTCGCTTGCTGTCTTTTCTGTATCTACCTAGCTGTCGTCCCCTCTCTGTCCTCGCTCTCTGTCGTCTCTTGTTCTGTCTTTGTCTCAATCTCTCTCTGTCCCTCTCTGTTTTCCTCCATTCTCTCTATCTCTTACTGTTCTTTCTACCTGTCTCTGTCCTGAATCCTTCACTGTCCTTGTCTGTCTGATTTCTGTCTGTCTCTAAACAGCTTCTTCCTGAACCCGAGGCTATGGAGTGGACGGTGCTTCAGAGCTAATCCGTGGGCTGTGCCTGGAGCCCACCTGGCACATAGCAAGTCCTCAGTGAACTGCAGCTGGTCTGCATTTCCAGGGTGACCCTGGCATGAAGGGAGGCCTCTCCGGGCTGACCCCCCTCTCTTGTCTAGCTGTGCACTTGCCCACTGCCCCCCTCCACCCCATTCCCACCATTTGCCCTTGTCTTCCTTCCACATCACATCTCAACATCTTTGCTCATGCTATTTGTCCTCACTTAAATGCCTTTCCCTTCCCAGGGCAAGCTTGGCTTATCCTGGGCTTAACTCAGATCCACGTTCCTCTCTGAAGTTGCCTGTGACCACCTCTGGGTAACAGACACCAGCACTCGGTGCAGACGGTTTCTGCATCCCAAGCACCCAGGCAGGGTGGGCAGAAACATTGAGCAGATAGCGCTGAGTCTCCATACCCCCATCCCCGTTCCATCTGGCATCTGGGTGGGTTACATTTGTTACAGTTAAACCAACGTTGCTGCATTAACTGAAGCCCACAGTTTACATTAGGGTTCACTCTTGATGTGAGTTCTGTGGGTTCCCACAGATGCATGATTTCACGTATCCATCATTACAGCATCACACAGGATAGTTCCACCACCCTAAAAGTGCCCTGTGCTTCACCCGTTCATCCCTGCTTCTTCCCAAACCCTCAGCAACCACGGATCTTTTTGCTGTTTCTGTAAGATTTGCCTTTTCTCAAATGTCGACTGGAATGTCGTATAGTTGGAATCATATAATACGTAGCTTTTCCAGATTGGCTTCCTTCACTTAGTAACAGACATTTATGGGTCCTCTCTTTTTGTAGACTGATGAGTGTTTTTTTTTAATTTGTGGTATAAAAACACGTATCACAAAATTTACCATCTTAACCATTTTAAGTACATAGTTCCAATATTAAGTATATTTGCATAGTGGTGAAACAGATCTGCGGAACTGAAACTATGCTCATTAAGCAACAACTTCCCTGGGCCCTCTCGCCCAGCCCCTGGTCATCATTCTCCTTTCCATATCTAGGAATTTGACTGCTGTAAATGCCTCATGTAAGTGAAATCGTACACTGCTTGTCCTTCTGTAACTGGCTCATTTCATTTGCATAATGTCCTCAAGGTTCATCCATGTTGTAGCATGTGACAGGATTTCCTTTTTCAGGCTGAATAGTATTTCACTGAATGTATACCATGTTTTTTTTAATCCATTCTGTCGGTGGACACTTGGGTGGCCTCTACCTCTTGGGCTATTGTGAATAATGCTGCTATGAACACGGGTGTTTAAATATTTGTGACCTTGTTTTCAATTCTTTTGGGTTTATACCCAGACGTGGAATTACTGGATCATATGGTAATTCTATTTTTAATTTTTTTGAGGAACTTCCAGTCTATTTTCCATAGCAGCGAAACCATTTTACATTCCCATCAGTAGTGCACAAGGTTTCCAACTTCACACATCCTCACCAACACTTACTTTCTGGGTTTTTTTGATAGCAGTCATCCTATTGAGTGTGAGGTGATATCTTACTGTGATTTTGATTTGCATTTCTCTGATGATTAGTGATAGTAAACATCTTTTCACATGCTTGTTGGCCATTTGTGTATCTTTTGAGAAACGTCTGTTCAAGTCTTTTGCTCATCTTAAAATTGAGTTATTTGATTTTGTTGTTGTTGTTGCTTAGTTATATGAGTTCTTTATAATGTTCTGGATGTCTACTTCTTATAAGATTGTTGATACGAAAATATTTTCTCATTCTATAGGTTGTCTTTTTACAATGTTGATTGTGTCCTGTGATGAACGAAAGTTAAGTTTTATGTAGTCTCATTTGCCTATTTTTGCTTTTGTTTGCTGTACTTTCAATGTTGCATCCAAGAAATCAGTAGCAAATACAGTGTCATGAAGTTTTTCCCCCTGTGTTTTCTTCTAGGAGTTTCATGGTTTGGGGTCCTTTTTATCACTGAATAATATTCCATTGTATGAGTTTGCCATCATGGCTGCTTCCGGTTCTGTGCAACTATGGTAAAACTACTATAAACATTTACGTGGATATAAATTTTTGACTCATATGGGTAAATAGTTGGCAGCGCAGTTGCTGGATCATATTGTAAAAGGATTTTTTTTGGTTTTGTAAGAAGCTACCAGACTGTCTTCCAAAGTGGCCTTACCATTTGCATTCCCACCAGCAATGGTTGAGAGTTCCTGTTGCCCTACACCCTCACCAGCATTTGTCAGTTCTTTTTAACGTGTCCATGTGTAGTGTGTAGTGGAGGCTCATTGCTGTTTTTGTTTACAGTTCTCTAATGGGATATGATGTTAAACATCTTTTCATGTGTTTGTTTTCCATCCATGTATCTTTTTTGGTGAGGTATCCATTCTGGTCTTTTGCCCATGTTTCAGTTGGGTTGTTTGTTTTTTTATTTTTGAGTTTTAAGTGTTCTTTGTATATTTTGGATATAAGTGCTTTCTCAGATATGTGCTTTGCAAATATTTTCTTCCAGTCTGTGGCATGTCTTGTTATTTTCTTAACAGACCAGACTTTCTTTTGCAGACCAGAAGTTTATAATTTTAGTAAAGTCCAACTTATCAGTTTTTTCTTTCATAGGTCATGTTTTTGGTGTTGTATCTAAAAAGTCATTGCCAGACCCAAGGTTACCTAGATTTTCCCCTGTGCTGTCTGCTAGAGGTTTTATAATAAAGGTTTACATATTACATTTAGGTCTGTGATCCTTTTTTAGTTGATATTTGTGAGAGATGTAAAGACTACGTCTAGATTCATCCCTTTACATGAGGATGCCCAGTTGTTCCAGCACCATTTGTTGAAAAGCCTGTCTTTGCTCCATCGAATTCCCTTTGCTCCGTTGTTAAAGATCAGGTGCCTGTAGTTAAGGGGGTCTCTCTCTGGGCTCTCTGTTCTGTTCCGTTGATCTGTTTGTCTATCCTCTTGCCGATCACACAGTCCTAGTTACTGTGGCTTTGGAGTATAGCTGGGAAGCATCAGTCCTCCAGCTTTGTTCTTCTTCTTTAATATTTCATTGACAATTCTGAGCCTTCTGCTTCTCCATATAAACTTCATAGTCAGTTTGTCAATATCCATAAGATAACTTGTTGGGATTTTCATTGGGATCATATTGAATCTCTAGGACAGGTTGGGAAGAATGGACCTCTTGACAATATTGAGTTTCCCTATCCATGAACATGGAATATATCTCCATTTGTTCAGGTTTTTTTTAATTTCTTTCCTCAGAATTTTATAGTATTCCCCATGTAAATCCATGTATCTTGTTGGGTTTATAGCTAAGTGGTTCAGTTTTTTGGGTGCTAGTGTAAATGATACTGTGTTTTCAATGTCAAGTTCCAGTTGTTCATTGCTGGTTCATTGTTTTTCAAAATATGAAATTATGAATCTGTGCTGATTGAAACAAAATGGAGCCATGCTAAGGTGTGAAAAGGAAAAGCTGGTCACCCCTCACCTGCCTCTCTCCTGGTATCCAGCGTTAACACACGCCCCGGGCCGGTCAAGACCCTTCTCCTTGTTCAGCAGACTTGGAAAACGTACAGGAGTGTGGTCAGACAGATGGGGATTTCTGTTTGCTTTTACCGCAGCAGAATCATATCATGCTGTGTCGTTCTGTATCTTCCTTTTAGCACTTAACAGTTTATAGAGGCCAAGCCAATTAATCATCAATGGATACAGATTGTGCTTCCCTCCCCCAGTTCTTTATTCAAGTACCTTTGTGTACACTCACACACAGATTATTCCACAGATATAAAGCTCTTACACCAGCTATGGGAGGTGTTTTTCCTTTTTTTTTTCGGTTTGTTCCACCCCCCACCCCCGCCTAGGGTGTTCTGAACCAGTAATTGAGTGCTGAGTGATGGATGGATGTGTAAGCTTGCCATCCTGGTGAGATGCAAAGTTAAGTGTAGAAGTGATATCCCATGAACCCCTCTGGGCTGGGCCAAGCACAGGCCCGGACACACATACAGCAGCTGGGTAACCTAGAGTTTGGTTCTGAGCCTCAGTTTCTCCGTCTGCAAAGGGGTCATGGTGATAGCACACTTCATAAGGTAGTTGGAAAGATGGGGCAAGGTCATGTGTGTCACATGCCCAGCACCTAGTAGGTGCTCAGGAAATGTGAACTCTTGTCCCTGAGTTCTCTGTGTGGGTGACTGGGGCAGGAAAGGGGGCCTGCCCTTTGCTGTGAGAAGAGGAACTGGTCTGGGGAGGGATCACCCTGGTGTGTGTTGCCTGCCCTAGGTACTGGGGGAGGGAGATGGGACCATTAGTGCCTAGGGATGGGGGAGACAGGCAGGCCCCAGATACCCTCCCTGCCCTAAATGTGCTCTCTGTTTCCTGCTTTTCCAGGACAAGCAGCTGCGGATCTTTGACCCCAGAGCTAAGCCTGAGGCCTCCCAGGTGAGTTGTGTGGGCAGCAGGGCTGGGTTGAGGCCCCAGTGGCTCCAGTAGGTGTGGGTGGGGGCAGGCACCGCTGGTACACAGGTTCTGCCATACCCTGTGCCCCTGGCCAAGGCCTGCCGGGGACATGGGGGGTCACCTGGGAGGTGGCTCCCACTGCTGGAAGCTCTTTCTGGGAAGCGTGTCTTGGGTCCTGGGAGGGTCCAGCTTTGATCACAGGGTGGGGTGCAGCCAGGCTGCCCACAGGCCTTCAGTGGAAGCATCCTGTGGCTTCAGGAAGCTAATTTGAGATTCCAACTTCCTCTCCTTCTTTGAGACCCTCATCCCCACCCACTCTTCCTGGTACGGTTAGCAGAGGCCAGTTATGGAGGAGCCAAAGAAAGCACGGCCCCCACCTTCTGCACCCCTCCAATCTCACAGCTGGTGTTGGGGGCCCTGCCAGAACTGTGGGCCTCAGGCACCGAGTGTGTTTGGTTTGTGTGTGCGGCTGTGCATGGGGTGCATGTGGCCCTTCAAGTGGAGAGGCCAGGCCATGGGTTCACGCTACAGGCACGGAGCCCCCGGGGAATCGTTCATTCATTTGAGAGCAGCTTGATGCCAAGCACAGAATGTTCTATGGTGAACAAGACAGACATGGGACCATTGCTAGGGGGTTTCTCTTGCTGGAGTGGTTTAGTGCTTCCCTGAGGAGCTGAGGCCTGAGTGATGCGGACGGCCTGGGGTGGGACAAGCTTGTCCCAGGATCCCGAATAAGGGACCTGTCACCTGCGCTGTGGGAAGCCATTAGAGTTAATAAGCAAGCAGTGAGATGAACAGATTTACATTTATTTATTGATTTTTTGAAGAGTGATTTATTTATTTAGTTTTTTGGGGGGGAAGGGTAATTAGATTTATTTATTTATTTTTAGAGAAGGCATTGGGGATTGAACCCAAGACCTTGTGCATACTAAGCATATGCTCTACCACTTGAGCTATACCCTCCCACCCAGATACACATTTAAAAAAATTTTTTCTAGAAGCTGAGGAGCCTTCTTTTCTGAGGAAGTTCAGTTCAGGGCCCTGCTGCCAGCTCAGGTGAAGAGCTCCCCAGAGATGCCCCAGGCCCCGCACAGGTGCCCCCATCTCTATTTCTAGGACTTGTTCCTCACCTGGGATTGAGGGTAATCCACCAGTCTAAACCCAGCCAGGAGACAGAGAGCCTCACCCCCCCTTACCCACGTGCGCGTGCGTGCACACACGCAAACACACACGAGCCCCTTCACGCAGCCAACAGCTACTTTTTGCCCAAGACAGTGTGGTCTGTTCCAATTCTGGCTGGAAACTAACGGGAGGCCCATCTTGACAGGTGAACCCAGCCCAGCGGAAGTGGTTTCAGCCCCAGCCTGGCTGTGCTTCTGGTGAGGCTGGCTCTGGGTCCGTTGCCCTGTGGCTGGTGGTGGAGCTGTTTTGAGCCTCACGGCAGTGTAGGTATAAGCAGTGGGCTTCACTGTAGCCTTCTGCAGCCCTCCTCCAGTCTTTGCCTGGAAGAGGGATCCCAGGCTCAGCTGGAGGAGGGAGACTGAGGCCCCCTCTCCCAGCTTTCTCAGGTGGCCCTTTCCTACCCAGGCTTCAGGGCACAGTGCCTGGCACCTCCATCCCTGCCCCAGCTTGGCCTTGCCTGAGGCCAGCTCCCCTAGCCTGAGCCTTTTCCTCCTTCCTCCCCTCCTCCTCCTCCTCCAGCAAGAGGGACAGTGATGGTGCTGAGGTGGAGACGGCAGTGGCTGCCATCCAAGGGGCTCCACGTTCAGAGAAGAGGGAGGGAGAGGATCTGGTTCTGGAGGGAGCCCCCCTGAAGGGGTTTTCTGGACTGAGGCGACCTGGGAAGAGCGTGGGTGGCTCCCACCCCCTCCCTACTCCTGGGACTGTGCCTGTGCTCCGCTTGCTGGTGCGGGGGCAGCGGGGCCTGGAATGCTGCCCTCCGCCTGGCCCTGCCCCCCACTTCCGCCAGGGCATCTGGCCCACACCTGGCTTCTATTAGTAAAACCGCTGCTGGCGGCCTGGGTCGGTGTGAGCCCAGGGGCCAAATCGGGGGAGAGGCCTTCTGGGAGTGCCTCCTCTTGAGATCCTCCTTCCCCACTAGATGGGGCGCTGCCCTCCCTCCAGCCTCTGCCCTCCCTGCCCCAGGGTCTGTCCCCATAGCCTGGAGGCTGGGCAGAGGGCCTGAGGCGTCCTCCCTTGGCTGTTTTTGGCCCCGCCTCTGGTGACCTGAGCACACAGCAGGGGATGCTTGGGTGGCTCCCTCCTGTTCACACCCTTGCTTTCTTTTTAGGTTGCATTTATGTTGGGTTATTGTGTCCCAGGCCCTTGGCACACATGACTTCCTTCCACCCTCATGACCGTCCTATAAACTCAGCCCTTTGGTCATTTTTGCCCCAGGGTCACATGGCTGGGTGGCAGAGGTGGGTTCAGTCCATTGGACTCCAGAGCCCCCGGCCTCTCTGCTGCCCCTTTGCTGTGCCAGGGCCCCGGTGGGAGTGGCACCCCTGAGCCTGCAGCCATGGCTGTGCCTGAGAAGTAGCAGCCACAGCTAAGGGGGCACCCAGGGACAGTGAGGCTTCTGGACGCCCGTCTGGTGGCCAGTGGGGGCTGGAGGGCCTCTGGCATGGGCAGGCGGAACTGTGCCTTCCGACCACCCCGTGTGTCAGGCAGGCCTGGCGGGGGCCAGCATCTGGAGCCCAGAACTGGGCCTGGCTTAGGAGGGGTGTGGATGAGTGGTAAGGGTCTTACCACTGGGGAAGGTCCCCTCACCCCTCTTACCCAAGGAAGGAGCCCAGGGCCCCTCCTTCAGCCTTCCTGCCCCACACAGGAAGTGTTGCCGTGGCGACAAAGAGGGGGATTTGGCTGCACCGCGGCTGGAATGCCGGGTATGTGCCTGTTCCTGGCGCCCCTGTGCTGGGCAAGCTCTGCCTGGCCTCAGCCCCTCCTGTTCCCTCCTTGGGGCCAGGTGTTGGGGAGGGGGGGGGCACTGAGCAGGATACCCAGCTCCTTGTGAGCGGGAGACCCCAAGGCCTGGCCTGCAGGCTTGGGGATCACCACCAGCGCTTCCTGTGACAGGGTGTCAAGGTGCCTGCAGCCTCCCCTTTGCCCCAGAAGGATGAGAATCTGGGGATCTCCTCCTTTCCAAGTCCCAGTGAGGTCAGCTTGCCATTGTTTGAAAATGAAAGTCACTCTAATGATCTAATGACAGAGGGTGGTCGGAGGGGGGTCCTTGGCCACCCCTCCCCCATTGCTAGGGCTTCCTGTGACTCCTGGGCAGAATGAGCTAGGTGTGCCCACAGCGGGTGCACTGGGATAAGCCTACGCTCTGACCTTGTCTCCACTTCCTTGGGGCCATGCCCTCCAAGACCCAAGGCCAGGGTAGAGAGCTGTGGGGTGAGCAGGACACACCAGCCCACACCGCCCTGCCCAGCAGCCTGGTTCCCCCATGGGACCTCATCTAGGGCTCCTCCAGGGATGACTGCTGGGAAACACACGGTGCTTGGGGGCAGCCGGCTTCCTGGGCTCCTCCTGGTCTAGGCTCTGCTGCCTTCTGGCTGTGCCTCTGTCTCCTCTCCTGTCCTCGCCTCAGCTCCCCTTGTGCAGATAGAGAACAGTGGCAGTTAGCAGTGGCTATCTTGCTGGGCAATTTGGGGAAGATGGCTTCCTCTCTCTGGGCCTCTGGTTTCTCTGTTTCTCCACGTGTGAAGTAGAAAGGTGGGAGACGTGGGCCAAGGAGTGTGCCATCCCCAGCCAGTGCCTCTGGATGAAAATGCTCTTGCTGCCTGCAGGCTCTGCAGGCCCTGGACACCTCCGCCTCTCCCTTGACCCCAGTGCTGGCTCTGCTGGGCTCTTTGCTCTCCGAGGCCCCGACTCTTCACAGGTGCTGGTCCCTCTGCTGGCTCACGCCTGTCAATCCTTCACATCTTAACTCGAATGTTACGTCAGATCACTTCCCTCAATTATACTCTTATTGTACCCCATTACCATGCTTTAAAAAATGCCTGTTGACGTGTTCCAAACACAACCCTGGGTGCTTCACCAGTGTAAACCTAGCCCTGGCACAGCCTCCACAGTGGGTCCATTATAGTGCTCTTTGTACAGATCAGGAAACTGAGGCACAGGGATGTTGCATAACTCATCCTGGGATGAGGCTGATAGTGGCAGGGCCTTCACCAAGGCGGTCTGACTCCAAAGCTTGAGCTCTTAAGCTCCACTGGTGACAACCTGGTGACATTGTTATTTCTGTTTGGTTCACATCTGCCTTTCAACTCACATGCTTTGTGAGTTTGGCATCCCTTTCTGTGCCGTTGACCATGTCCCCAGCGCCTCGTGTCGTATGTAGCTCAAATGTTCATATCACGAAAGACCAAATGAATAAGCAGCCCCGCTTCACCCAGTGGATGACCCTCCGTTTGAGAGGGGTGTGTCAGGCCCTACCTCCAGATCCTGGCACAGCGCCTCGCCAGGGGGAGGCCTGCACGTCTATTGAGTGCATGAATGCTGTGGGGGTGTGGCAGGAGCCATCTGGTCTGCTGCTCACGTGGGACATTTGCACACTGAAGAGAGGGCAAGAGCCCTTCTGACACTTCTGACTGACTCTGGGGCTTTGGGGGCGGGGCTGATCCTCGCCCCTGACCCCACAGCCCCTCTTGCATGGAGACAGGGATGTCAGGCCCAGGTTCTCAGGCTCCAGCCCTGGCTTCCTGTGCTGACTGCAGTGGGTGGGAAGGGAGTAGTGAGAAAAGCCCCTTGAAGGACACACGGGGCCGTTTCCGATGGTCTCCCACGCTGGGGTCGGCCTCCACGGGCTGGGGCGGGGGCGCTGGGCCAGCTCTTCACAGCCACCCCCCTCCCTCATTCATTCCCAAGGAGAACGTGGGAAGCTTGGAGGAAGCTGGCCACAGTTTGGGGTGAGCTATTTTTGGTAACAGGGTCTTTCGTCTCAGGCTCCAGGGGCCAGGGTGACTGGGAGGGAGCTGTTTGCATTTCCTCTGGCCCCCTCAGCTCCCTGCTGCCTGGGCCCAGGGGACAGGGCCGCCCGCGGTGTGAACTCGCCTCTCCTCCCCGGGGCCCAGGAAGCCTTCCTGCTGGCAGCTCCAGCGCTGCAGGAGGGCGATGAGGGGCACTTCTCTGCCCTCCCCGGGACTGTTCCCTAAGTTTGGCACCAGTGCCTCTCCTGGGCCCCCTGGCAGCGTCGGAAGGCAGCAGTAATACTTGTAATCCCTCGATTTGCACGGTGCTTTGTGGCAGGCCTGCTCCTGTCACATGTGGTCTCAGTCGATCCTCACAACAGCCCTAAGAAGCAGGCAGCCTGGGCCACGAGCAAGGAAAATGAAGTTCCAAGAGGGCACTGGGGTCCCTGGGGACAGTGACCGGCAGCCAAGTGCCTCCCCTAGGACACCTGCAGGGGCAAGGACGCACCACCGTCCTGAGCCCCGTCACTGTGGAAAGAGGGCATCCAGACAGGCCCTGTGGGAGGAGGGAGACTGAGCGCAAGCTGGCTGGCCAGGTCGGCCCTCTGGGTGCAGAGCTGTTCCCCCCTGGCTTCTGGGGGGCACTGACCTGGCCCTTCCTATCCTCCGTGGGGCTCTCAGGTGGGTGGCTCCCCCAAGGAGGCCTCTGTTGTTTAGCACCATCTCTTGCCTCCTCCAGAGCACACAAGCCCATGAGAACAGCAGGGATGGCCGGCTAGTGTGGACGGGCACCCAGGAGCACCTTGTGTCCACCGGCTTCAACCAGGTAGGGCTCCTCCCAGATGAGCAGGGCCCCTGCACTAAGGATTGGGGTGAGGCCGGCTCCTGGCCTGTCCATATACGGCCCTGCGTGCAGCCGGGTCTCAGAGCCCCAGGGGACCGACGGCTGCTGAAAACTGGCAGATTCCATTTGCAGTAGCTAAGCCTGACCCTGGGAACTGTGGTGGGCCCCCCCACCAGGGACCAGAGTCCATGGAGGGAACCGCCCCTTGTCCCTTGTCACCTAAGGGTTCTTAAAGGGGCAGGACATGAAAACCCAAGCTCTCCCTCCCTGGCATGACTCACCCCCACCCCCGACTGCTCTCCCAGCTCTGCTCTGGGGAAAGTGCCCCTGTGCCAGGCTCTGTCCTCAGTCCCTGGATTCCTGGGGAGCCCTGGGGCCTGAAGGACAGGCCCCTCTGAGCCTCTCTCTATCCCCTCCATGCAGATGCGTGAGCGTGAAGTGAAGCTCTGGGATACCCGGCTCTTCTCTAGTGCCCTCACCTCGCTCACCCTGGACACCTCTCCCAGGTAGGAGTGTCTGACATGTTGGGACGGCTGCAGGATATTAAGGGCCCAGATGGTGTCTAGGAACGCACACTGCTGGTGGTGGGGCAGGCTACCGCCCAGGGGTGTGTTTTGGCATTTGGGGAGGGGACTGAGACTCAGCAGGTGCTGGGGGCAGGCAGGGCGGGGATGCACATGATTTTGCTGTATTTTGGACCAAGCTGAGGACCAAGAAAGCTGAGGCTGTGATGGTGGGGTGGATGCAGGGTGACGTGGGGACAGGTGGGCTGGTAGGTTTGGAGGCTCCAGTGGCAGATGGAAGCAGGCCTTGGACCCGCAGCCTCTATGAGACCTCCTCCACCCAGGCCATGTGCTTCTCCCTGGTTGTCCTGAATGGGTTGAGGTGAGGGCGGTGTAAGCAGCCTAGAGGTACAAATGTACCTCATCCTTCCGTGATCCTGGAAGTGTGTGCATGAGGGTTTATGGTGGTGCCCTTGGGGTCCTGGCTTGAGCCAGCTCTGTGCAGGGACAGCCCAGGCACCTGGGGGACCACCCTGGCTGGGGCCAGAGAGGCGGGGCCTGGTCCCTGTTCACCTGTGACTCTTGGGGTGCCTTGCTGAGACCTGTACCCAGGCAGGGACCGTAAGGTCAGGGCCAGGACAGGGTCCTTGGATATCCATCTAGCCCCTTCCTCTTCTGTTTTACAACTAGGGAAACTGAGTCACAGGGGGCTCAGTGACCTGTCCAAGCTTCAGGAGCACCGAGGGCCGTGTCCAGGGCAGGGAAGACTGTTGTAAGTGCGCCTGCCAGGGCAACCCCAGCTGAGAGCCCCCAGAGAAGGGGTAACAGTCAGGGCGGCAGTGATCCTCCATTTCCATCCTCTCTCATAGCCCAGGGAGAGGCTGGGGAGCTGGAAAGGCCTATTTTGCAGATGAGGGAGGTGAAACTGAGATCCCCTACCTTCCTTAAAAGCACACAGTAGGTGGCCTCTGTCTGCTCTTGGCCCTGGGGACTTAAGGGGATGTTACCAGGACCCTCTGCACTGGAGGAATCAGAGTTCCCAGGCTTCCTGGCTTCATGTCTAGCAACCCCTCCCCTAGCTCTTATGCTATACTGGTATCTCATCCTCCACGCTTCCCCTACCAGGCCAGATAGCCCCCTTCCCTACAGGCCACCCCCACTGCAGAGAGGGAGCTGGCCCAGCCTGGAAAAGGGACCAAGGCACTAGCCATGAAGTGCTTCTCACCCCACCACTTCCTGTCTCCCAGGCTCCACCCCTGGTCTGTGTTGGTCTCCCTCCCCTCACGAGCAGTCCCTGCCCAGCCCCAGCGTGGCCCCTGGGGGAGTTAATGATGCCCAGACCCCATGGTGCCACTGGCCAAGGCTGACCCTGTAATTATAGCAGTTAAGAATAGCTTCGCAGGGCCAGCGAGGCCTGGAATTTCTCAAATCACTCCCAGATGGGCGGCCAGGCCAGTGTCCCGCCCCCTCCGTCCCCCAGTCCTGGCCGTTGCCCCACTGGGCCCACGCCCTTGGCGGAGGAGCCGGGACTCTCCAGCCCTCTACAAAGCTGGTGGACGCCAGGGATGCATGCCAGCCTCTAGGCTGGCCTGAGAGGTGGCGGGTCCCCTGATCTCCCTGGCTCCCTGGAAGGCAGAGCCCCTCTTGAGCCCCCTGGGGTTCTGGGGACTGCTGTGTGAACTGGACTAAAAGTGGAAAGCGCAGGGTGTCAGCTGTGGTTATGGTATGGGTCTCCACCACACCCTCTCAGTTTCTTCTCTGTTTTACAGATTTTCCGACTCAATTTGGGTAGAACAGTATGAGCTCTTGGAAGAGCTAGAGGGGGCGGGGGGGGGGTCAGACACATGGCCCTCCTTATCCTCTCCCAGGATAGGACCCAGGGCCCCACCCTCCCAGGGGCCTTCGTCTCTGCTCCCACCTATGGCCTCCCTGGCTCATCCCTGTTGTTCATGGAGTGCACCTCCCCAGGAGGAGACGGGCCAGGGTGGGAAGAGCAGGGCGTCAGGTCCTCTCTGTAAGGCCGGGCTCAGGGGGCAGGTCCACAGATGGCTTCTCTGCACTTCCTGTGTGCTGGGCCCTGGGCAGTTTGGAGGCAGGGGTTACCGGCAGGGCCTGGGCTGATGGAGCAGCTCATGTCCTGGACATGCAGAAACACCACCTGTCTCAGGTACCCTGCTCCTGGACTGGGTGAAGGGTCAGCAGTATCGAAGGCAGAAGGGGATTTTTCTCCATATGTTACCAAAGAGGCAGCTGAAGCCAGAGAAGTTGAGCCTCTGTTGAGGTCCCCCAGCAGCAAGCCTGTGCAGGGTGGAGGCTGGGACTCGGGCTCTGCTTCTTCATACTGAGGTGTCTGCCTCTGGCCAGAGGCACTGGCCCCACATCCCAGTGTGTTCCCTGGAGATTGGGAGCCCCTCTCCCCGCCTGGTAGCTTCTGCTGCTCATAGCAGCCCCTCCAACCCAAGGCTGGCAGTTTCCCCCGGGCCAGGGAGCAGGTGCTGGGATCCGTCCCTGCCACCTCTCCTGGCCTGAGATTCTCTTTTGTATAGGGTTTGTTGGGCCTGCAATGGGAGCAAGTGTAGCTTGGGTGACACAGGGCCTGTGGCAGCGAGGACCCAGCAGTTGGGGCTGGCATTTCCCCACATCTGCCCCAGTCCCTCGGCTGGGGCCATCAGGATCACCTGGGTAGTAGCAGCATCTTGGCTTGGTCCCCCACTCCTCCTGGCCCTCCTTTCATCCCCCAGCCCCTCATCTGATGGGACCCCCAGATACCTTTTCTGAGAGGACTGGCATGAGTGCCCAGCCCCCTTCCTTTGGGCCCCGCTACCCACCCCTGCTGTCCCACTAGCCAGGTTTAGCTTTGCAGCAAAAACATTCATTCAGCAGCCTCTGTGTTTAGCAGCAGCCCACAGGCCCACAATGGCCCCTTTGACGGGGCCGCTAAAGGGGAGGGCATGCCTCGCCAGAGCCGTTCCTCTAATGGGACCCAGGCCCACAGGAAATCCACCTGGGCTGCTGCCGCCACTGCCTCAGGAAGAAGGGGCCCCACCCAGGCCCACTGCCACCACCCTCTGCCCGCTGTGACCCACCACTCGCCTCCTCCCTTCTCGTGCCAAAACCCTTAGCAGCCGATAATTGAATCCAGAGCTTCGCGTGGCCGGGCCTGACTCTGCGCTGACATCAACGCCCAGAGCCACAGGGCCTGTTCCCCAGGCCTGGCTGGGCTGCCTCCTTCCCGCTGGGGTGAGGCTGGGGGCCAGGGACCATGACCCACGGAGGGACATGGGCATGGGGCCTCAGGGAGGCTCACTCCAGCCTTTGCAGGGCCACTTCCCTTCCTGCCCAAGGGTAACAGGAAAAGGTGCCATGTATCTGTCACTGTTCCGCAGCTCTCAGCACCTGATCCAGGCCAGGGCTGAGCGCAGTATCCCTGGCCCTGCCCCCACCTTAGCCTGTGGCTTCCTGGAAAACACTCCCAGTTCCGGGGTTTCTGGAAAGCCTGGGTACATCCCAAGTGCAGAGAAGGAAGGGGGCATCACAGGGATACCAGGCCTCCGCAAGCTGGACTCAGACCTTTGGTCCCTTCCCAGGGCTACCTACCCCTAACAGCCCTGGCTCGGCCCCTCCCTCCCCGCCCACCAGAGGGTTCTTGTTATTCAGAATCTGTGCTGCCCCTCCACCCAAGCCCCTTCCTGTAGCTAGAGCAGGAGGCTGGGAGCAAGGTCTCCCAGCCTGGGCCATGCGTGTTGCCTGGTCCAGGACCACCCACAAGGTCCTGGTTGGACATGGCTAGAGGCACCCCCTCCACAGATGAAGGCAGGCAGTGAACTGCTGGTCAGACCTGTCCCTGAGGGGGGACCTTTGAGGGTCCTCTTGGCCAGTGTCTGCCACAAGCATCTCCCCAGTCTCTCCTAGGAGCCCTGCAGCTCCTGTTGGCAGAAGGCTAGGCCTGGATAGGGTAAGGTTGCCCGAACTATTTCTCTGCCCTGCGGTTGGAAGTGGTCCTGCTCCCATCCCTGCTCCCACCTGGGATGCTGACTAGGGCTTGGTGCCTGCTGAGGAGAGGGGTCCTGGACCCCAGCTTCCCCACAGAAACAGCTGTCCCTTTATTTTATTTTTGTAAACTTTTTTTTTAATGGCAGTACTGGAAATTGAACCCAGGACCTCATGCATGCTAAGTATGCACTTGACTACTGAGCTGTACTCTCCCCTCAAGGGCTGCCCCTTTATGCCTATTCTGCGAGCCACCCTCCCTCCACCCAGTCCAGGTACAGTGGGGCCGTGCCGAAGAAACACACTCATTTCTTTTCATCCTTTATTTTTCTTACAAAAGGCCTTCATATTGTTTGTCTTACAAAAACCAAAGTCCTTGTCTCTGAGTTTGAAAACATTTTCCCATAATAAATGGGAAAGGATCTTTTATAAATATATTTTAAAAAACAAAAGCAAAACTTGTTCCTAAAGCATCTTGCTTTCCAGTTTCTTTTGTTCCTTCACTCCCTGGAGCCGAGGCAGGGCCACACACCCCATCCCTAACCTCACTCTCCCTCTGCTCTCTTTTCCGGGGGCTTCCTTCACTGGCCACCCAGAGCCTCCCTGGGGTGTGGGGCTTCGCAGCCCCGGGCCTGTGTTACCAGCACACGGCAGGGCCCGCCCCACCCCGGGGGTTGCATGTTGCAGAGGACGGGCTGATGCCATCCTTTAGGCACTCGAGTTGGGTCACACCTCAGAGGTCATCACCTGGGTCTCAGCATCTTACAGACTAGGAGACCAAGGTCCAGAGAGGGGTCACACGGCCCCAGTCCTGACGTGTCCTCGTTGTTCAGATCTGAGAACTTCCTTGGTCTGGCAGCAGGAGACTGGCCAGTCCCAGTGGGGCTGAGCACCTGGCCTCGGTGGTCCATCACTCCCAGGCTTAGATGTAGGGTTTAGCAGGGAGGGGCCCCTGTGGGCTGGGCCCCGAGTAGCCCATGAGCGGCACCTCACACTCAGGCCCTCCTGGTGGGGCTTCCCCAC